GGAGAGGATGTAGGACTCGGGAGCTATAATAGGTTTGGTAACCAGGCTAGTACTGTACATGTGCGAAGGGTTAGGAGCAGGTGCAGCGTACTTTCTCTTCTCTGGCTATTGGCTCGATCGACAAAGATCGTTCACCAATCCAGTCTGGCTATCCTTGGAGTTGTTCGGTCTCTGCTTCTTTTATTCCGCTTTCTTAGTTCGAAATAACCCCCATGCGAAAGAAAACCGGCCGCATTTCTGCACCCATCTCCGTAAACCATATTGTTCAAAGCAAAGTCCGACTCTGACCACAAGCGGTGGAGACTGTGGTGCTACTATGTCGATCACCTCCTTGACATTTTTTCACATGGCGGTTTTTCACTAATTTCCACCCTCTACATGATGGACTCGCCCTTCTGTTGGGACCCCGTAGCCGTCGGGACGTTCATGCCAGTCTAAATGTGGGGTCCATCTTCTTCAGTGTCGTCGGAATTCGAGCCTAGTTTTCAGGCGCTGGGTCGACGATCGACCACTGGATAGCACAGATAGGGATGACCTCTCATGTACTTGGATGTTTCCTGATGGCGTTTGCTCCATATCTTCCTACACCGAAACATAATTCTCTATTTTGGTGAGTATAAATGTATATACCGATCGTTGAGTGTAAATGTCTGTCCAGTTCAAAAGCAACACTATTACATATGTCTTCTTATTAAAATTAGGATGTGTTAAAAATGTATGTACGGCTGAATAAAATCTTGGTTGTCTCTTTACTTATACTAGGATATTAATACAGTTATGCACAATACACTTTAAGTGATCGATGATAAATGACAACAAAATAATTCACAGGTTGCCAAACCAGGCATTTGTCATTGGCGCGAAGTTTGACTGGCTAAAATCATTGAAGTTGATAAGAAATTCAGCAAAGATGAAGCATTAAAGTGTCCGCTTACAAAATCAACCTTTCTTTATTTCCATTTCATCTAGATTTCTACACTGCCATGTGAAGGTGTCCGGTGAGACCAGTGTTAAAGAGCCGAAGGTCAACTGAAAACATAAGTAATATGAAATGAAAATTCCAACTTTCAAAGCAAACAATTAATGGAATGTTGTGTGGGTGAAATGTCCTGTTGAACAGACAGATAAGTACTGCACACGCTTTCCTGTGGAATATAAGATTCTACTAAAGCCTAGCTGGCGTTGACTTTGTTTCTTGTTAGTTCGGTTGTTTCTCTTTATTTACATGTAGTCCTGCTTCGCTGACAGGAGTCATGAAAAGGTGAGCATGAGAAGACTGGCGACAGTTAATCAATGACGTTTTCACTCGAAAAGAGTCACGTGCACTGCGAGATGCGGTACAATGATGAATTCTTTGCTCAGTGTTGGTTTACATATCGGTAAATGTGTTCTCACCAAATTGACTAGAAAAGCATCGGTCTCGGTCTGTAGGACCGCGAGTCTGTTCCAGTATTCTCAGGCCTGACACCAGGCGGGTACAATACTAGTATTCCAGGTGAACCGACCCTACCTCACCTGCCTGCTACCTTGGTTACCTCTATTGTTTGCGCGTACATTGAAACCATAGGTACACCGCTGCAAAACGGAATCGGATGGAAATTCACTTCAAAATAGTTTTGTTCATTTTACAACATCTGCTACGCCTGCCCTCTGATTATAATCGTATATATATGATTTCTAATGTGACAAATAGTCATCGGAGTCCGTAGTTATGGCCCAATTGGACTTTTTATTTGCGTTTGGATGTTGTTGAGAAAAACAAAGATGGCGGAAGGTGTGCCGAAACCGCAGCGGGATCCTCCTCAGGGGATGGAACCGTTTGATCGAGGCGCTCTCAGCGAGGAACAGCAGGCCAAGCTCAATCAGTTCAAGGTAGGGGATCTCCTAAAGCTTTGTGGAGAGCAGGATGTCACAGAGAGGTCCTGTGTAGCGACCATCTTCTGCCGAGAAGTAGTGCCATTATTCCAAAATGTATGTTGACCCCCCTCCCCAGGCTAGTTTACTTACTTACCACCATACCAGATCCAAACAACGGCCCCCTCCCTATGTTACCTCACACCTAACTGTACTTTGTAATTTTTGTGAACAATAAACAATAATGTGAAAGTGTATGTGGGTTCTAGCCCTCTGTATACATATTCAACATGTGAGTAACACGTTATAATAATATTTCATCATGCTACATCTGTTGTATTATTTTATGCTACAGTGATCTTCCACTAACTTCTGCTAAGAGTTGCTATAGTGATGATGATGACCAATGGTTATTGTATGAAAATGTATCTCTGTGGTTTGTCTGTGTAGGTGCAGACCAGGTTAGGTAATGAGCGTTATCTCAGGGAGCATCCTGAAGTCTCCTGTATGGTGTCTGGCTTCCTCAGGTATGAACTGACAGAAAGATGATCATGTCTATCTTGTCTTGCCTTGTCTTTTGGCCATTGTGACTTCACAGTCTTCTTGAAACATCAAAATCAAATCAAATTCAAAATGAAATGGTCAAAATCCAAGCAGTCAATGTTTTTGTTCACATTAATTATTGGTACCATAGGCATAGCCATGCACCAATTATTGATATGCAAATCACCCAACTGCCACTTGCTTTTTGCCACTTGCTACTCCAATGTAATGGTGATCGCACGTATACTAGACATGATTCAAATCATTACTAGTACTTTTCATGATCTCTTTTTCTGATTGTGCTCAAATGAAGATATTTGTGTTCATTTTCCACAGTGATGTTTTGGCAAAGAAACCTGAAAATATCAGGGAGTTTGCTGCAGGTGAGTACTGAAGATTGTTTCACTTACAAATGATGCTATAAGTATAACATTGTAACTTTGTAAGAATGTTAATATGATTTAGTTTCTACAACCTAGATGTTTTCAAAGTACAGTATTTCTTTGGTGTATTCAAGGAGGATTATGACTTGTAAGTTGTATGTAGATCATTAATGTTATACATGTTACATTGTTGGATGACATGTCTGTTAAATACACGAACATGTTGCTGCTGTAATTTGCCTACCAACAAGGTAGCCAGGGGGTTCAAATTATGATTATTATGACATCAATGAAAAGCCCTATAAATCTTATACATGTACTAGTAATTTCTAGACAAGGTAACTGGATTCATGTAAACAACCATTGCTCTTTTTCTCCCAGAAGAACTAATATTCTTTTTTTTACCATGTTGGTCCAGAATACTTCAGGAACCCAGAATTGCCTGATCAAGTCATGAAGGAAGTTGCAGCACAAGAGGAGAAGAAAAGGATAGCATCACAGGCTAAGAAGAGATTGTGAAATGCAGTAGTGTATTGCTAATTCTGCAAATATCATATTGTGCCGACTGTCTCATTTTATATCATCTGAAATCTGTATATAGACTACGGAGTGCTTGTGTGTAGGTTTTTGCCTTACCACATGTAAGGTAGGAACTAGTCCCAGGATAGTTCATAGCAAGTGCTAAATTTTGTTATCTGTAATCATCACATTATAGCAGAATTTTGTACTTCTCTTCTCAATCAGGAACCTTTAACACATTCCAGGTATTGTACATACCATTACATATGTTTTGTAGCATTTGAAATGCTGTTTGAATGACATAAACCTTGTGTAGCTCATGGTACACAGCATTAAAAACTATAAATTGTTAATAGTAGTCTGTCAATAATACTAGTATCCTGGGTAGAAACAAGCGTCATACAATGTACTTATGAAATATGGAGACTCACATCTATTTTTGTGTTTAATATACTGACATATACTATCTTCTAACTGGCTTGCCCTGTATCGAAATGATGACTATTTGGCAAACAGGACAGTCAGGAAATCCTTTCTTCTCAATGTCTGCTTTATGATTAGGAAGCCCCAGCAAAGCCACATCTAGATATCAAAAGATGCAAAGTTTTATTTCCGCTATGTACATACATGTATTCTGTACATTTCAACACTACAAATAACATTCAATTGAGTCTAACTGGAACGTTTAAAAAAAAAATAGATGTCAACTCTTTCAATCGGTGGAGGGAAAGTCAGTGTTTGATTAATGAAAGCTTCACAACATGACAACATTTCTAGGACTGTTTTGTAATGTATATACCAGTAACTTAATTGAGTATGGATGTAATTGTGTTTCAACAATGTGGCATTAAATTTCACCAACTCCTGTTGTCAATTTATCTCTGATATGACCTCTATGTAACTCAACCTGCCCAATGCTACAGGGATGTCGTGTGGGGTATCTACTTTTGTGTGGTTTTGTTCGCTAACGTCTAAACAGTACTGGTTGCAACACCCCTACTGCGCAAATGGATTAGCCGACTTGACGACAGACTTGTTCTCTCGGTGATGAGGACCGTGATGTGGTTGTTGACTATCATTTTTGTGGCCTAATGCTTTTGTGCGGTGGGCACCAGTAGGTATATTTCTCCTTGTTTGTGTGTATTTATTCTTATTGCAATGATTTATGGTAATCGTTTCGTCCTGACGATGAAACGGCTGAAAGTGATTAGTGATCCTATATTTTACCGACATAAAAATCAGACGTACACCGTGCCCCGCTCAGGACTTAGGCCCTATTCCCACTAGGGTAAAATTGTCCGGATCGAGCCGAATTGATTCGCTTTGATCCGGCTTTGAGCTGCATCGAAGCCGGATCAAAGCTAATCAATTCGGCTCGATCCGGACTACCCTTTTGCTATTGCTATGGTGACGATTGTATGTTTATTATATGTGGTGTTTATGTAAAAGGTATGTATGGTATAGCAGTTTGTTCGTTTTGTTTTATCTCGCCAAACCAAAATCATTCTTTTGTTTATACAGCCCCCGAGTTGTCTTTAAAATTTAGAATTTTAGATCTTAAGATTTTCGCTTAAGAGACAGAACTTTCTTTTCAACTTTCAGGTCGCTTTAGATCAATGACTTGACGTGAAACTCAGACTTTATAAACTGGAGACCAGCCTAACACATTCCCAGCATCCTGATTGCGATATCTGTTGACTCCTATTGGGATCTTTACCGGTAGAATCGGCGATTCTGCCAGATTGCAATCTCTACCCTGACATATATATATCAATTGAAGATAAATACACATTGTACCCAGTTCCGATGATTTTAATGTATTTGACATGTGTGTACATAAGGTGTGTTTGTAAAACAAAATCCATGTGAAAATTAAGGCAAAAAACATTGCTCCTTCAAAAAATTGACAGAAGTAACAAACGTGTTGCTTTTGTGTGGGAAAATTGCACATCTTCCTATAAACTCTAGGAAAATTGTACAGCGAACTATCAATTCAAACGTTATCATTGTAGTTACATCACTCTCATCTATAAAAGTACAATATACTGTATAGCAAGGTCATTTCATCATCATGTAAACATAATGTGCTTTTACATATACATTGTACATCAGTGTATTTGACTTCTCAGTGAGAAAACTCTACTAGCATGCTCAACACTATGTTACAACACAGTAGGGTGGAAAGGGCTGTGATTTAGTCGCTTTGATGTTATAAGTTCCGATGTTCTCTGTTATTCGTGAGTACTAATCACTTCACGTTCAGCCCTCCCATCTTGCCCCACCAGTACCAACTTGCGGAACAGCCACACTATCTGCATATCCGTACTATCGACATTCGTGATGTTGTCTAGACATTGGGTTACTTCATGAAGTTCTCCTTTGTAAACCAGCTTAACATGCCACCTATCATTTGCCAAGTTAACGTGTTGCAGTTCAATTATCTAAAGTACTCACCAGCTATCACAAATGTACAGTAATTGTATTACTTAAACATCCCTCTATTTGATTAATATTCAAGTCGTGCGATTTAAGGTTTAGTGAGTAATTACGGTGAGGTTTCAACATTGTAACAGAAATGTGAATCAAGTATAAATGAATAACAAGTTACAAAAAATGTTAGGCTAAGCCCTTTCTTCAGCAGCAGTTTAGTGCAGTTTGCCGAGGATGAAACAATTTTATTAAATTCATTTCAACGTCGGTAATTCATAACAAACGCTATGGTTCAAGGTAGAGGAGGACATGGTATGTGTGTTGTGTTATCAAGCCTGGAAGAGGGCTGAGTTACCGGGGAACAAATTGCATCCATATCCCTGCTAATCGTTCAAAACTTTTTCTCTGGACTTCCAAAGTCCAAACGCTGACCGTGCAAACGTGGTACATAGATCTATGTTCTGCACTAAGGTTTCTGCACTAAGGTTTCTTTAAAAACTCCCTGTTTTGCTGCTTGTTCTGTGTGGGGGTGCTTTTATGACATTACTAGCCACTTTTGGAAAGTGTGCTTGTTAGGTAAGGTTTCTGGTTACACAGAACTAGACACCATGTGATCTATCCTCTTCTTGACGGTGAGTCTCTCGGAGGTCCAGTCAGGCGCTATGATGAAGTGACTGCGGTGCGGCGGGCGGACATGTTGGAAGAAGCTGACGTTACAGGTGTAGTCCAGCGACTTCTTGGGTTGGTTGCGGTACCACCGCGGGGGGTTAGGGGGCAGTCGTGCTATGGTCACCTTGGTCTTGCCGCTCTCCACTTGACTGGAAGGAATAATAGAATGATCAATGATGGGAACGTCACATGAATTGCTCTAACTCCTCCTGCAATCCATCCACAATTCTGAGCAATTCTTTATTGTTGTTCTATCGAGATCTAGGAACAAAAATAGCAAATCAGTAGCCTGACAAGGAAACCCACAAACCAACGGCTTCGAAAATGTGTCAGAGATGATAAGGGGCCTTGAAAAGCACAAAAAAATGCACCACAGTGGTCCCTTCTTGATAAACATTGACACGTGGTTAGCGTGATCAGGACTACGGCTAACGTCATTAGTTGTGTGACGTCACCGCGACTTACCGTTCCTTCTTACCTCCCGAACTCTTGAAGATTTGTGACAGGTATGCCTTTCTGTGTGCAGAGCAGAGAAGCATAAGAAAGCAGCGAGGATGAAACTTTTTGGCAATCCCTCCGACTGAGACACCCCATGTTATCCTCTTTACTCATTTAGCCCTTACTTTGCAAGCCACCACCACATTCGAATGATGTGGTTGACGCTTATTTGGAAATATTTTGTTTTTGGCTACATTCGAACCGCCTTCCGTCAAAACACTTTATAAAAGCGAAGGAGACCTTCAGCAGTGTAAAGTCCTGAAATAATGTGCCTTCAGATCAGGTTTGACAGCTTCATAAGACACTTACTCTTCCAAGTCCTCCATGTAGTCCTTCAGGACCTTCTCTTCGCGGGGGTTCCCGTCCACCCTGCCGTCCACCCCGTTCAGCCTGTAGGCCGGGGGCGGTCCGTTGTTGGCGCCGGTGGGGGCCAGCTTGCGCCGTTGTCGCGCAGGTGCAGAACGAGTGGCTCTATTCTGGGACGCTGCAAGTTGGTAAAAAAAAAACGACACCTTTTTTTCAATGAAAGTAGCGAAGCTTCACCCGAATTGCTCTTGAAGTAGCGAACCCGGTGTATTTGGTTCTTTGGCTTTGCAATTTTCGTCACGTTACTAGTCAATCACATGTCGTGTGTTAAGGCATCTCTTTTCCTACCTGACTTCTCCAGACGTACAGGTGAGCTGCCCCGTGTGGCCACATGTACGCGCATGGAGCTGGGCTGGGACCGCTCAGGCCCGGCTGACTTCCCGCCATTCAGACTCTTCAACATGTCGTAAACTATCTGTTTCTCTGCACAACGGGAGGGAAGACGGTGACGTGATTAAACACGGCCATCACCAACGGTGGTGTACAGTATTATTTTCTATATGTGTTTCCTAGTTTTAATGACGCTCCTTTTTTCTAATGTCAAACAAGAACAACAACAGGCATCTCAAAGAGTGAGTTAGCCGCACAAAGTATAATATTCGTGAAATCGACGCGCCTCAGAAATTGCATTAAAACAAGCCTATTTACATCACCTCCTGCGGAACCATTCACTATGGGGAGAAGGCTGATTTAATAAAGGTTTTGACAAAGAGCCAATGTCCTTCAGAACTCTCTTGGCGACTCCCGGGTATTTTAAGTAAATGACGCAGTACTGTGTGCAGCAAGATTAACCCCCCACCCGCCAATCAAATTTGCGCCGGACAGAAAGGTTCATACACTTAGTCTAATGTGTCATCCAAAATTGCTAACAGAATCTATTCAGTGTGTTGTCTCGTACGGGTAGATTGAAAACCCATAACAAAAACGAGTAAACCTTTAGCTAATATGAAAAGCCGCAACGACAATGAACAATTACCGTACAGAGCAACACTATACAGTACATTGTTTCAGTTGTGGGCATTGATTGGCAACTGGTACTGGAAATGGGAAGAGACTTAAGGACCAGAAGGATTTTAGTCGCGTCTTTGTGAAGTCGTCTTACCGTAGTCGTCAGCGTTCTGTGCCCAAGTCTTGAACTTGCCCACCTGTCCGTCTGTCGTCATAGCACTCACCTGGCAAGTGAGAACAAAACAACAAGGGTTACGTACGATCAAAGTTAACAACATGTACAAGACATACATTTTTAGTTTCTGCAGTACTGCACATTCACGTCTCGTTACTACTTATAGCACTTTCGCTTTCTTCTGAACATTTTTTATTCACAATACGTAGCTGGAACGTTATGGTGATATTGCATCGCGTCTGACGCTGCCAAATACTTTTTTTTTTGCAGTTTTACTTCAGCATGACCTTGGATTTTATATGATCTTTTATAAAGCACTTGTTCGTGGACACTTACCGGCCTGTGTTGAGGCGGCGGGATGGGCTGGTGGGACTGCGGGTACGCCGTGTAGCCCGTCATGGCGTGCGGCGGGGTTTTCACCGTTCGGTACGTCGTCCACTCCTGCTCTTCCTCCCTAAATTCGCCAGGAGGAGCCGTCTTTGGTCTGCTCGGAACCGAGTTCACGTGGTGCTTTATAGCAAAGGAACCAAAAAATGAAGTGTCATTTTACCAATAAATGAGACTGATGTTATACTGTAACACATCAAGTATATGATTTTTCATGCGTGCCTCATTAAACCATCTCAGAAGTTTTATCTCGCATAATCAATGTATTCAAAACAGTTAATACGTGCATCATTTCGTCTCATAAACTTAGCAAAATATATTAACCTTCTCCCTGTTGCCTAAAACTGGAACCCATAATACGTATTTTAGAAAGGAGAATGTTAAAATCCTTTACGTGATGATGAAGCAGTATTACCTGTGGTGCTGTGGGAGGGTGGAAGGGTGTCCGAGTGTTCCAGGTTGACCAGTGAGCCTGGTCCTCCGGTGCTGTCGGCGGTCCTTTGTTGACCACTACCCACTTCTCTCTAGGCTTGTACTGAGGTAGGCGAGCCTGGACAGTTACTCGCGGTACCTCTGGGTCTAAGGAAATACCAAACAACACAGGCACCATAAGCAAAAGTGGGCGACTACTCAGTGAAAGGAAATGAAAGTCTGCGCCATTAAACCACCTGAATGCCTTTCGTTTGTTGATTTTATTGATTGGATGGTTGCTGCTCGCATAGTTTGACATGGCAACTCAAACTACGCAGTCATAACAACACACCAATTCGTTTCCTACGTGATGTGCCCTCCCTCCGCCGCAAATGAGTAGCTAACTTTTCTTTCAATGCAGCACGACAGCATACAGGCCCAGTTAACGACACCTCGTTTAAAATCATATGCGGAGAGTGAAGAAGGATATTAATCATTTTCTATGCAGGAACATTTCTCGGTCCCGTCGATCTTCTAGAGTTTGACACACGACAGATGATGACACGATACACGGATTATCATATTATACGGAAAATTGCAGAATGGTGACGAGACTGAATCCCCCAGGGACAGTCTGTTGTCTAAACATGATGGCACCAAAAGATAAGATTCACCTGTACGCACCTAATTTAGGTACCATACACATGTACTAGTGCGGCACCAAAAGATAACAATCACATATACGCACCTAACTAGCATTTTTTTCTCCCTAATATCCAGCTCACTTGTGAGAAAGTACTAGTATATACATGTATATATTACTTTCCATTTTCTTCTTTCTTTAACCAAGCAGACAAAGCAAGACCGATTCACCAAACTCTGTCTAGCTGTGTAGAAGGCATGCACCTCCAATCGATACGAGAAGCATTGTGGACGTTACTGCAGTTGCTATTCTCCACAGGAAGCAGCAACAATGTCCAAATTACGTGCCCGGTATCGAGGTTGGTTCTCCAAAGGAACCCCTTTGTAAAGGTCGATGTTTTCATTGTAATTCATGACGCAGACGGAGAATGGGTCGGCGCTGGACAGGTTGTTTTAGTATATCCCAGCCAACATCGGACGGCTTAGTTCCCACTGTGCGCCGGCACTGTGTCAGATCCAGTGTTTACGGGAAAGATCCGCTTACAGGTTGCTGTACAGACTATAGTTGGTCTAGTTTTTGTGTGTCAACGGCGTCTGTATAACCAAAGCACAGCCATAAGTCGAACCTAAACATTCAACCGGCTTCTCTTCGGAAAAAATGAGATTCTGCACAGGCTCAGAGCGAAAACATCCGATGATGTTACATCGTCTGTGTGTCCCGGGTTCAGGTTCAAGTGCTCACGACTTTTCTGAGCGGTGCCAAACTACGTGCATTGAATGTTAGGTACTAAACATGCCGCTGTTTATGTGTACACAGTCACACTGTTTTAGACCCGGTGGATTTGCGTAGATCATGTGTGCAAAACTAGCCCTTTTCCCGACCTTTCAGCTTTCAAACAATGTCATGGTGGGATGGAACATGGCAAATACACACATAGTTTGTCGGCAGATAGGTGCCGTCATAGTTGTCCGAAAATTGTTACCTTTCACTATGATATTGAAAGAGCGCAGTTATATGAGTGAATCAAGGCAAAAATGACTGCACATCCGAGTGAGCAAATATGCCCCAAATTCTTCTAGCTACTCTGACGAAGCTTATTCGTGTAATACGCGTCCAGTTCGGCCTACTTTACCTTTAACTCCGTGTATAATCTTACAAAGCTCGTGTTAGAATCACTGACCAAGTGTCTCAGGCAAAAAGACGGTCACGCTAAGAAATTCTGTCAACACCAGACAACCTAAAACCTCACCTGTCACAAGAAAGACCTCAAAATTCCACAGCTCTCGTTGGAGAGATTTTCCGCCAAGCGAGACCGGGCTGCCACAAGGCCCTTTAGTCTGAACTAAGACCGTGACTGTCTGACTATTGTTAGTCCTACAGGGTGGCAACAGACACCTCCAGGTGATATAATAGCACTGCAGGTACGGCAGAAAAGCGTCCTTGGCAACCGCGCCGGAGTGTCGTATGACTCGTGACCCCTGGTTGGAGTGTGCGTAGAAGAGGCTTCTCGTGCAAAAAGATACCCGAGACTGGTTTAGTGTTCAAATTCAGTTCACGTGTGGAGTTCGCACAGACTTCGGTCAGAGTCAGAATTGTTCTTAACAACAAACTCACCGCAACCTTAGTTAGTAATGAGTCGCGAACCGTCTATAAAGTACCGACGAGTACCAGACCGTGTCCACAATTTCGGAAACTCTCTTCCAAACTCTATTACCACATAACAAATTCCACAACTCTACAATTGCCCTTTATGACAGACCTAGTACCTGTCGATTGAAAACCATCTATCTAACCAACAACTCAGAATTGCGCTATCGAGCAGCGCCTCCTAGCGTTTGTAGCAGGCTCTGTGTGCATCAAAGCACGACTGCCAATGTTACATACTTATATATCTGCTATATGATCCTGACAGTAAGGGATAAAAAAATATGTATTGCACTGTCTTACCTGGAGGTTGGTGATAGATTTGTTGTTGCTGTGGGGGCTCCAGCGACTGCTTCAGGTATTGCATCGACGGCCTGACAAATTTCTTCACCACATGGTCCCCTGTGTGTGGCACTGGGGAACGAAACGGTGCGATTTGTCAGTGTTTGAAATCTTCATGAATCGAAAATTGCTTATATCATTTTATTAGCGATACACATGTTATGACACAGTAGTAGTACAAAATGTAGTTGCTTTAGGATCAAAATGGCCTCTCTTAACTAAAGTGAAAATGAGTATTGTCCTGTCCTGTATTTGTCCTCTGCGTCGGTGGCGGCATAAATGAAATTGAAAAAAATGAGTGTGTCGTCGCCATGTCTAGTCGTGAGATGTTGGAATATTTAAAAAAAAACACCTCTGTTGATTCATCTGCTTATTGGGACAGTCCTACGGTAACCATCGGTCCTTCTAGCCTCTCTCAAGAATGTTAGACTATATCTGATGGAGACCAAAGGTTTGGTTAGTTTTGAGAGCAATAATGAAGCCGATTAGTGACCTCGTTTGCAGCGAATAAATATTTAAAGTCGCAGATAAGTAACTGTTGATGTAAAGGGCAGGTGTCATAATGTTGGCCGTTGCCATAGAAAACAATGCATAAGAATGAAACAAAACACCAATTGCCATATATTGTCATACCGTACATTGTAATACGTTTCGCCAATTCTAGTTTTATGTCGTAAAACAAAAAAAAATCCCCGCCCCTGCTTTTAAGTTAAAACCACCTGTACTCTCTCGTTCTGCTGGGTTTACCTTATAATTGTACGAAAGTTTCGTTGATGTTGTTTAAGGCCTTAAAGTTAGATTCCAAGGCAACCTATATCTTCTAATATTTGAGGACCGCTGACAACAAGGACACAAGTACACATTGAACGGCAAAAAAACTCCGGCAAATATGTCACCAACGTTAAACAGTGACATAGACCACGTGCTATGTATCCATGGCAACCAGGGACGCCACAAGCTCACCTGTGTGGGCAATCGTCACACTATTGCAATCAACATGTCTTCTATTTGTCTCTTATCAAAACACAATTTTGCTTCTCCAAGTTACCTTTAGTGAGGCAAATATGTACGAGTACATCTTAATTCTCTTATAAATTAGCCAACAGACTTTCAGGATTGCACCAAGCTGACAATAGAACAAAAATACCTCATATTGTGGCGAAGTACAATTAAAACACGTCTTTTACCATTTGTTTTTATCTAAGGAACAGTCATTTAGCAAGTAGGAAAAGTCAACTCTAGC